ATAAAAAATACTTTGTACTTTTTAAACGGGAAACACAATAGTGATTAGGCCAAGAAATCAGGTTCCAGTATTAATTACATAATTTACATAACCATGTATTCCAAGGGTAAGTAAAATGAAGTGCTAGAAATGATATGGAAAAGTAGTAGAACTATAGGGCATTGATATTACTTAGCATCTGAACTAATAAGAAACTTGACAGTAATACAATAATACGATTTCAGTTAAAATGGACCATTGGTTTGGGAAAGTAATTTGAACATTCATTTGTATTTCCTAAGTGATTTTCTTGAAAGATAATAGCTAATCCAACCCTTCAAGGTATCTCCATTAGAATTCCAAGAATTGTAGGACCAAAATGCTCCCTACTATAATCTACAGCTTCAAGGTTAAAATTTTGCCAAAGTCACAAAAGCTTAATGAAGGAGGGAAACAAGTTCAGCATATTTGTAGCAGGTCAGAGGGTTGGGGAGCTTGAGGACAGACAGTGCATAAGGAAAGACAACCGAAGATATGATAAAAGACTAACTTTCCAAAAGAGCCTTTCCAAAAATAAGTGTGACAAGCCATATATTCCAGGAAAAAAATTAAAGACTTGTTTTTTACTTGGTCTAAGATTATAAAATTATAATGTAGAAGAAACTCTTTGCACCTATTAAACAAGTTGAAATTATGACTTATGCAGCATTCCAGTTACAAGCAAACCACTATTCTAAGAAATACAGGATATAAAATTATGGATATACCAGGATTTTTAGGGAATGTATTGTCCTAATACTAGGTAATTTGTTACCAACCTATGCCATTTATGGAGCATTTGTAGCTCTATTTACGCCTTGGTTTTTGCTGTTGATAGACCTCTGAATTTACAGAGTGAAATCAATAAACAGGAGTACCTACATTATAAAGTATTAATATTGGAACACATAATAAATTCCCAGAGCTATCTTCCCTAAAATGTTTATAGTTAAGGAGTTACTCAGTTTTAGGAAGCACCTCTGTAATAGACTAATCTTTTTCAAAGCAAATGTTGCAAATCTCTTGTCAGTCAATTTAACAACAATGTAATTCAAAAAGATTCAAGGCTGGGGTTACTTAACCCAAAGAAAAGGTTAAAAAAAAAAATAGCAAAAAGCTTGGAAGACAGAGTTCAAAAGTAACAACATAATGCCACTTGCATATTTTCTTTTTATTTGTTTTATCTCAACAAAATTTGCTCTATTTAGAGCAAACAGTCTCTAAACAACAAACACAAATAAATATAGGTCACCTTCTGATAATTTCAGGTGGAAAATCACAAAGAAAATAAATAGCAGTCAGGTTCTTAATTCATCTTGTTGAACCCAAAGCTTTCAACTTAAGATATTCTTTTTCATGATTTTCTTTCCTTTTCTTTCTCTCTTCTTTCTCTAGGCTATTATAGAACTGAGCACTTAAATATGCCTTTGTATACACCAGCCCAATGATATTACACTGAATTTGTGACTCCCTTTTTTTGTTTGTTTTTTTGAGACAGAGTCTCACTCTCATTGCCCAGGCTGGAATGCAGTGGTGCAATCTCAGCTCACTGTAACCTCCACCTCCTGGGTTTAAATGATTCTCCTTCCTGAGCCTCCTGAGTAGCTGGGATTACAGGCGCCTGCCACTTCGCCCAGCTAATTTTTGTACTTTTAGTAGAGATGGGGTTTCACCATGTTGGCCAGGCTGGTCTAGAACTCCTAAGCTCAAGTGGTCTGCCCTCCGTGGCCTCCCAAAGTGCTGGGTTTACAGACATGAGCCCCTCCTCCCCTCGCCCAGCCAACTCTCTTTAAGTTTTAAAATGCAAGTTTCAAAACTTCAAGAGAAAACATCTTTTAAAAATACTACCAAAATAAAAATTTCTCTACCTTGGTTCTTTAATATTATGTTTTTAACTTTTTTTTATAGATTTATTGAGACATACAATAAATTGCATATATTTAAAGTGTACTATTTAATAACTTTTGACTTTGTACATCGTGAAACAATAACCACAATCAAGATGATAAACACTTCTATCACTCTCAAATCTTTTAACCCATCGCCTCTCACTTCTAATTCCAATCCCCATTCCTAGGTAGCCACATATTTGTTTCTGTCAGTACTCAGTTTGCATTTTCTAGTATTTTACATAAATGAAGTAATACAGTATGTACCCTTTATTGTCTGGCTGCTTTCACTCACATACTTATTTTGAGATTCAGCTGTGTTGTTACATGTATCGAAGGTATCCAGGTTTTTTCTTTTACATTGTTGAGTATTCTACATGGGTATATCACAATATGTTTATCCATTCATCTGTAGGTGGTTATTTCAATTGTTTCTATTAGTTTTAGGCTTTTACAAAAAAGAGTTTTATGAAGACTCATATATAAGATTTTGAAAAGACATACACTTTCTCTTCTTTGGAATAAATATGTAGAAACATAATGGCTTTTTGTATGGCAAGTGTGTGTTTAACTTTTTTAAAAAATTAGCCAGCACAGTGGCTCATGCCTGTAATCCCAGCACTTTAGGAGGCCTAGACTGGCCTAGACTTGAGGTCAGGAGTTTGAGCTCAGCCTGATCAACATGGTGAAACCCTATCTCTACTAAAAAAAAAAAAAAAAAAAATACAAAAATTAGCTAGGTGTGATGGTGGACACTTGTAATCCCAGCCACCCAGGAGGCTGAGACACAAGAATCATTTAATCCTGGAAGGCAGAAGTTGTGGTGAGCTGAGATTATGCCACTGCACTCCAGCCTGGGCTACAAAATGAGACTATTTCGAGAAAAAAAAAAAAAAAAAAAAAAAAGAAAAATTGCCAAAATATTTTGCGATGTGTATTAATCATTTTTTATTTGTACTAGCATGATATTAGTGTTCCATTTGCTGCATATCCCTGCCGACACTTGATATAACCAGTCTTTTTAACTTTAGCTATTTTTTTAGATGTATAGTGATATCTCACTGTGGTTTAATTCACATTTCCCTGTGACTAATGATGGTCCACATCTTCTTATGGACTTATTGGTCATTTTTATAAATTCTTCTCTTTTAATTTTGTGTTTATATTTAAACATTTTACTTATAGTAAACTTCACTCCTTTTGGTGTACAATTCTATAGGTTTTGACTCATTTATAATCATGTTATCACTATCACAATCAAGATACAGAACAGTTCCATCACCCTAAGAACTTCCTCATGCTGCTCTTTGTAGTAAAACACTGCCATCAAATTTAAGCCCTGGCAATCACAGGCTTGACCTTTGTTCCTATAGGTTTGCTTTTTCCAAAGTGCCACTTAAATGGAGTCATATCATAGCCTTGGACTCTGGCTTCTTCCACTTAATATGATGCATCTGAAATTCACCCATGTTGTGTGTATCAATATTTCACTCCTCTATTTTTATTGCTGAACCAAATTTTTATGCATAAACCAAATTTTTTTTTATCCATTCACCAGTTGAAGAACAGTGGTGTTGTTTTCAGCTTTTGGCAACTTTGAATAATGCTGATTTTAAATATATATATATATATATAAAATATACACACACATACACACATACATACATGTACATGCATATTATATATAATGTATATATATGGTGATTATATATTATGTATTTATATGTTTTGTATAAATAAATGCTTTCTTCTATCTTGGGTAATTACCTAGGAATAGGTAATTGGCTAGGAATAGAATAGGCTTTATTATTAGAATATATTTAACTTATAAGAAAGTATCAAAATATTTTCAACGTGTTTGTATTATTTTGCATTTCCACAAGTAACGTGTGTTTAAGGTGTTCCACCTCCTTCTTTGGTATCGTTAAATTGAAACAATTATTTTAGCCTTTCTAATACATGAGTAGTAGCATTTCACTGTAGTTTAAATTTGCATTTCACTGATGACTAACAATATTGATCATCTTTTCATGTGCTCATTTGCCATCTATAGATCTTCCTTGACTATTTAGTTTTGCAAAACTGCAAAGTTAATTCACAGAAAAATAGCCTTTTCAACAAATTCTGTTGGAAAGTATGTTATATCAATATATTAAAAAAGAACTTCAATCTATAACTTGAGCCATGTACAAAAATTAACCCCAAAGCAATCGTACACTGAAACATAAACCTAAAACTATAAAATTTCTAGAAGAAAACCTCAAGACGATAGTCCCGGTCAATACTTCTTTGATATGGCAGTAAATGCATGTAATAAAGGAACACAGTAGTAAATTGTACTTTACCAAAATTAAAAACTTCTGCTCTTCAAAAGAAACTATTAACAGACAGGAAATACCACAGATTCAGAGAAAATATTCACAAAGCATATATAGATTAAATGATGTGTATTCAGAATATCTAAAGAATTCTCAAAACTTATAATAATAAACAATATGAAAATGATCAAAAGTTTTGAATAGACACTTCACCAAAGATATACAAATGACAAATGCATAAAAAAAAGATACCAAATAACATTATTTACTAGAGAAACGCAAATTAAAACCACGAAGACATACCAATACACACTTACTAGATTGGCTAAAATTAGAAATACTGATTGTACCAAGTGTTGATACAGCTGTGGAACAAATGTAACTCTCGTATATCTGCAGTGGGTAGGGGTAATATGAAATGTTTTAACCACTATGGAAAACAGATTAGCCAAAACAAATGCAAACACATGTCTAAACACAGTCCTGAACATGAATGTTCATAGCAGCTTTACTTGTAGTAATGCAGAAGTGAAAACAATCCAAATTTTCATCAACCAGTTAGTAAACAGGCACAAGGTAGTTCCCCTATTCCAGGGTAGGCATGAAAGCATAAAATATTCCCTTCTTAAATTGCAGGCATAGTATCTAAGAAGAGAACAATTCTATAGGATCTACTTATCACCCCACATCATCTAAGTAATGAATATAATTATATATTTAATATTATAAGGTATTACTTCCTCTTTACAACAAAAAATAATGTTCAATATCTTACCTATGTATCTATATCCTTCTTCCCCATTTACTATGGGTCTCAACCAAGTTGACTTGAGTCGTGTACTGTTAGGCACATTCGCACCTTCAGGAGGATAGAGTGTAAATAACATTTCAATTGCTTTGGACTTTTTGATTAGTTCAGAATATTTTTCTTTGCCATCTATAAAGAAAAGAGAAAATGTATAAAATTTTAAATATTTTACAGAGTATCATAGTTGCTTCTTTTAAGGGATGCAAATTAAAAATGATTTAACAATTTGGATACTATAGGTCACACTGAAAACATGTTTGCTTTAGTCAAAGTTACTTTATCAACTGAACTTCATTGTTCAGTTAATTCCAAGCAAAACTAAACAGTAAGGGCTTTACTAATAACTTCTTAAACCACTATCAGCTTGAAGCAGTATTGTTAAAGCTGTGAAAAAATAATTAAGATAACCAATGAACAGCATTCACATTATACATTCTATAACATAACCATATATTCTTACTTTTAATATAAATAATGGAATCAGATTAATCTGACAAAAATGTTGAGAAAATATAGAGTTCCATATGTTGGAACTACAAAAAGAATTAATATTCCTAAGCTATAGTTTTTAAGAAAATATAAAAATGCATATTGCTGTGACTGAATTATTTTTATCTGGGCATTTGTGTAGCACATATTATATGCAAAGGATTATTCTTAGTGCTTTAAAATATTAACACATTTAATTTTCATAACATACCTATATGGTAAGTCCTATTATTATCTCCTTTTACATGTAGAAACTGAGACCAAGAGAAGTTAAATAACTTGCCTAAATCTCACCGTCTATAAATGATGCAAATAGGCTTCAGATACCTAAGGAAGCTCTTATTTGCAAATGAATCTTTTTCAACTGAACATGACCTGTAATAACTAGAAGCTGAAAAAACTTGAATTAGGCAATAATTCAAATTGCAGAGTGAAAAATCTCTGGTACATCCATTGGGCCTCCAATTTGTAATTCTAGTTTTTGATTGATAAGTAGGGGTCCTAAAATTCAACAAAACAGTCTCCTGAGGATTTAAAGTGATTCTGCCTATAAACATTTTAAAGAAGAGACACTAATGTAAATCTCTACTTATAACCCCAATACATATATTTATTTCTTTCCTCTTAGTTTCCCTTTTTTTTTGTTACATGTCATATTTTCTGGTAAAATGAATGTAAGGCCATATGACATGATTTCATAGCTAGCAGCATGCCAAGTATCCATGTAGTGCCTCACAGATCCAAATCCATCCTTCACTGTCCTGCTTCTGAGACTAGAACACATCTTCCTTGTAATATGGCATGATTTTAAGTATAAAACAAAGAGGGCAATGGAAAGAACTAGAGGATGAATGTGTTCTTTCTGGATCTGGTGGGTCTCTCAGCAGGCTCCTACAATTTCTCTGGCATCTCAGAGGGCACTACTCTCCCACCACTTCCTAGAGAGTTCCGCCAGTGCAGCACCTTCCTATGGATGGCTTTCCATTGAGTTTCACAATGTGACATCTCCCTACAGACAATTTTCCCAAGACCTGCAGAACGGCTTTTCTATGAATGCTACTAGTATGCAAGCTCAGTGTACTCCACCATTCATTGAATCCCCATGGGTGGCCTTTGTAAAAATTTGTTCTTTCCTTAGATGTTTTACCTCAGACCAAGGGGTCCCCATATCTTCTCTTGCCAATTATTAGAGTTCTTTTACCCCTTAGTAGACAATCACAGTTCCTCCAATCTCTGTCATAGTTAATAACCACTACATTAGACTTTTCCTGCTTAAATTACTATGTAGTTTCTATCTACTAAGTGGACCCTAACTGATATAGACAGCTCTGGGTTCTCATTCTTAATGGGCTTTGAAATACAGTCATGTGATGTATAACAACATTTCAGTCAATGATGGACCAAATATAAAATAGAGCTAAAATGCCTAGTGAAATCCTGGCTGTGGTAGCATTGTAGCACAAGGAATTATTCACATGTGTATGATGATGCTGGTATAAACAATGTTACTGCACTGCCAGTTATATTAATGTATAGAACAGGCAACTATTTATAGTACATAATACATAATAATAAACGGCTGTTACTGGTTTCTACATTTACTATACTATAATTTTTAACATTACGTTAGTGTACTTCTTCTACTTATTAAAAAAACAACTCTAAAACAGCCTGAGTCACGTCCTTGAGGAGCTAATCCAGAAGAAAGCATTGTTATCATAGAAGATGGCAGCTTCATGCTGCTATTGGCCCTGAAGATTTTGTGGTAGGACAAGATGTGGAGGAAGAAGACAGTGATATTGACGATCCTGTGTAGGCCGAGGTTAATGTGTGTGTTTGTATCTTTATTTTTAACAAAAGTTAAAAAAATAAAAAATATAAACAAATTCTAAAATAGAAAAGTCTTACAAAATAAGGATGCAAACATATAAGATATTTTTGTACAGTTATACAATGTATTTGTGTTTTCAGCTAAGTGTTACTACAAAATGTCAAAAGGTTACAAATAAATTTAAAAGTTTATAAGGTAAAATATAGTAAGCTACGGTTAATTTTTTATTGAAGAAAGAAAACATTTTTGTTATAAATTTAGTGTCACCTAAGTGTTCAGTGTTTATTATAAAGTCTACATTTGTGGACAGTCATGTCCTGGGCCTTCACATTCACTCATCCCTTACTCACTGACTCATCCGAAGCAAATTTCAGTCCTGCAAGCTCCATTCATGTTAAGTGCCCTATATAGGTGTATCATGTTTTGTTTTGGATACTGTATTTTTAGTGTACCTTTTCTATGTTTAGATACACAAATCCTTACCACTGTGTTACAATTACCTATCTCTATTTTTTGTATGCTTCAATTTCAGGTAGAATAAAATGGGGGGAGGGATGGGGGGTGGGGAGGTGGGAAGAGATAGCATGGGGAGAAATGACAGATACAGGTGAGGGGACGGAAGGCAGCAAACCACACTACCATGTGTGTACCTATGCAACAATCTTGCATGTTCTTCGCATGTACCCCAAAACCTAAAATGCAATTAAAAAAAAAAACTAAAAAAAAAAATGGCTACACTAAAATCTAAGTAGTGGTGAATATAAAACTGCCAGTTTCTCCTACTAGCTTATCCTGACTGAAGACTAATAGAAACACATGAAGTCAATGGAGTATTGAATTTGCAAAGATAACATAAGAATAAATGTAACATTAGATGCGCATTGAAGATTTGTAGTTCAGAGTCTTGCTAATGCCCCATTTGCCAATTGGTAGTGTAAATGGAGCCTTGGAACTTACACAAAGAAGGCATCATGATTTTTTAAATGATTGTACCTTCTTTCATAATTGCAAAGTTAACTACAAATAAACATTTTTTTTTTCATTTTAAAAGGTATATAGCTGGTAAAACTCTCGTTTATATTTCATTACACATGTCATCCCAAGATAAAAGCAGGAATTTAATTTGTTTCTGATATTAATAATTTTTACTGTTTATGGACTACTTCTTTTTAGATACACTAAGTGCCATATGGCATTTAGACGTAGCAATACACTACTTTTGGAACTCTAAAGAATAAGAGCTCTTCTTTATCCCTGATTCACCAGGCCACATATGCAAAATTCTGAAGTTTTTAAAATTATCAAATGGATAAAACATAGTTGTCAGTACTTATTGAGAGCTTTGTATACAACAGGTGTCCAAAGCAGGTTATACACATTTGCTAAATTAATTCTAAAATCAGAACACGTTTAATTTGATGACAATCCTATGAGGTCAATATTATCACAGCTCAAGATACTTAACCATAGGGAGGTTCCAGAGCATTTTCAAGGCCTCCCAGTTGGTAAGTGGTGAAACCAGAATTTATTCCATATTCTGTCTAGCTTCAAAGCCGGTCTTTTAAACCAAAATGCCATATTGCTTTAACAGTGGTTCCTGGTATCAGAATACTGTTAGCACTTCAATGGTTGCAAGTCAGCTGGTGGTCTCGCCCTTTGCTATCGCCCTTCCAATCTTTTAAAATCCTTCTGCAGCTGTCCCTGTAAAGTGTAGCCTGCTGGTTAGCCCTCCAAGAGCAGCTTACAGCTCCTTCCTGGAGGTTTACTGATGTTGGTCTTTTTCATAAAAATTTAGTTTGTAGTGCTCACTTCGGCAGCACATATATTAAAACTGGAAAGATACAGAGAAGATTAGCACAAGGATGACATGCAAATTTGTGAAGAGTTCCATATTTTTCAGGAGACTGAGGCAGCAGAATTGCTGGAACCTGGGAGGCAGAAGTTGCAATGAGCCAAGATTGCACCACTGCACTCCAGCCAGGGCAACAACAGCAAGACTCCATCTCAAAGAAAGAAAGAAAAAAAATTATTTTGTAGCAGCTATTGAAGAGCCCTCAGGTCAAAACCCCTAATGATGGCACTCTCAGTTTGCCAAGAAAAATGGCTCATATAAAATCCCAGAGAATGAACTCTACACCACCTCTAGTTTTCCCTTGCCTCTCAGAAAACTGAGGTTCATTATGCTTAACATGCAGGGTGGATGAGGAGTTTTCAGAGAACTCAAAGTTGCCCTTCCCTTCCTTTCCTACACAATGTACTGTGTTACTGAGAGCTTGTTGCCTCCCTCCTGCAGGTTCCGAAGTGGGTTATTTAAGGCAGTGACTCCAAGGTTGTACTTCAAGAATCACAGTGATTTTAAAAATAAATAAATTAATAAATAAATATTAGAAAATTGATATAAAGATGGCAGACAGCTTTACATTCTACTAAGTGAGCCTAATAAGAAAGAGCATCTATTGTCACAATTGTTCCTCTTTTTGTATGTATTACTGAAGGATATTTTCACACTAAAAACGCATGGGCAAGAACATCTCAGGTGACAGAAAAATAATTTACATTGAACCATGAGAAACTTAAATTTCTAGAATATTTTAAAGTTTCAAGTTCTTTCTAATGTGCTTGCTCCTTCACACAAATGCCAGTGCAGACACAATACTTAAAAATGGGCAAATGTATAAACTATTAAGGTCAGGACCAGTCCTAATTTATACCAGGAAGACTTGGGTGGCTAACAAAGCTTTACTAGTGACCTTGAGTTATTAAACCAGAATGATAGGCCTAGTTACTCTAAGTCAATTTTTAACAAGCA